CTGCTGGGGGAGACTAAATAGCCACAAGCAAAGGAGTAAAATCAAAGCCATCCCTGGAGTTATGAGAAGGGGGCTTGGGGCTGAATCAGAGAACGAAGTTTCTATCCAAGGAGACTGACAATGTTCTGAGAAACACCCAGCAGCCCGACAGCCACGTGAGGGGGTTCCTGCACTGTACTGTGGGGAGCTGGATTGGGTCATCTCTGAGCTCCTTGCCATTGAGAGCCTATGACATCTTCAGAGTTCACAGAGGGTTCAGTCCTTAAATTCCATCAGAGATCTGATGTGGTAAAGGAGATGAGGGGACAAAAAGGTCTGTCCCGGCCTCTGGTGAGCATCTACTAGAGTTGAGGCATGTGACAGCCATTCTACATAGTCCCCAAATCGTTCTGGTTTCCTCCATCCCAGGCACTGAATAGGATTGTACTTCTTAGCCTGCTTATGGCTGAATGAGGCCATGTGACCCATTCTGGGCAGAAAGCCAAGAGTGGAAGTGCCGTGTGCAGCATCTAGGCAGGAGCGCTGAATTGCCAGCGCAGATCTGCCAGAGCTCTCACCCTGTCATGATGACTGGTTTAAAATGACAACTGCCATCAAGCTGGGTCCTGGTTGAAGCTATTGAGATTTGAGGTTGTTTGTTACTGCAACATTACCAAGGCTATCCTGACTGATACGGGGGGTGGGGGAGGCAGAATTTACCTGTATAGAACACCATAGAAAAATACAAGATACACAATTCAAGGAACATGACAGGGACTGGGTTGGATAGCAGCTCTGACAACTCAGCCCAGCACCCAGACCCTGTGCTGGGGCATCCCCACCACTTGAGTAATACTCAACACAAACCCTCTACCCTAGCTGTGCCCTCTCCCATCACCCTAACTTCCTAACACTATGTCTAACTTTAAGTCTTTACTAATACCATGTCTTCCCTCTGCATGTTCTCCCCCCTTCCCTTCCATCTAGGCAAACATGCTACCCATTCCCAAAGGCACAGAGCAGGTCTCACGTCCAGCACATCTCCTTACCCACAGACACCAATGGAACCACTCTGGAGTCGCTGAAGTTCCTGTGGTCAGGATGACATCTGTTGGGGACTTAATGTGTATGTCACCCTGTTTTATAGGAACCAGACTCTATTCTACAAACAGGCAATGATCCAGAAGGCTCTAGCTCACAGCAGGTACCCAAGGAATATGCACTGGACAGAGAACAGCACCATGAATATATAGGTGATATTTCTTACACATCCATGGAAAGTTTCTTAAAAATCTAGGCATTTTTCCCTCAAAGAACTCAAAATAGACCTTCCATTTGATCCTGTAATTCCATTATTAGACATCTACCAAGAAGGAAAAAAATCATTTTATCATAAGGACATTTGCACTAGATTGTTTATTGAACTTCCATTTCCAATCGCCAAGATGTGGAAACAAGGGCCCACCAACCCAGGAATAGATTAACAACCTGTGGTATGAGTATACCATAGAATACTATTCAGCCATTAAAGAGTTGGAGACTTTACATCTTTTGTATTTACCTGGATGGATTTGAAACACATTATTCTTAGGAGAGCATCACAATAATGGAAAAATAAGAATCCAGTGTACTCGATACTAATATGAAGCCAGTAGATGATCTAATTCACGCCCACATAAGAGAAAAACTCAATTCAATTCAAGTTCGGGGGAGGAGGAGAGGGGAGAGGAGAAGAGTGAGGGGGATGTGGCTGCTCCCACTTAATGGGCACAATGTAAAGGTACATGACACACCTCCTGGGTACAGGACACACTATAACAGGGACCTTACCTAAAAAGTGTAAGTATTGTTAACCTAATCGTCTGCACCCTCACGATACTCTGAAATTTTTAAAAAATCTAGGCACTTGTACTAAGATATGATTTATACTAATGATTTTTAAAATTGGCACCAAACCAAATCCTAAAATTATTAGAGGGCAGCAAGATAACAGAAGGAAAACTCCCTCCACCCTTTTCTGGGGCAAAAAGTCATCATCACATCTGAGGTTCTCCTCTCTACCTGCCCTCTGGGTTGGAGCCAGTGTGGGTGACAATATAACTAGCCTGGAGGCTGGCAAGGGTACCGAGGGCGGGAAAGGGTGGAGAAATCAGGAAAATCCACACCTGCTATACCAATTTGGTTTCAGTTGGGCATTTCATGCAGACACAGAATGTAAACACTTCAAGAGATTTCTGGAGAGCCCTGGAGAAGTCTGTGTAGGCCAACATTTCACTTTACAGAAAAGGTGCTTGGAATCAGTGTCACTCCTGGGTCAACATCCAGTTCTCCTAGTTTGAAAGAGGCTCTTTCACTATCTCCTCATGCTTCAGTTTGCTACAGGGCAACCTGATGGAGCAGGGGAGTGTCCTACACTTACCATTCCAGGGAATGTGGCATCGTGGCTACTCAGCCAAGATTCATGCCATCATTTCTGACACACCCCCATCTTTCCCAGGGCTTCAGAAGAACATATCTGATAAGGAGGTGAGCTCATCAAGATCCCAGCAAAGATTTTATCACCTTGCTCAACAGCCAACACTGTGGGCCAACAAGTCCTTGCTGGGAAGTCCTTCTCAAGATCTATGTAGAGGCTCTGCTGCTGTGGTGCACTTATTTTCCTTTCCTTGGCATGTCTGTGCAGACAGAAAAGAGCTGCTTGCTCTTGACCCCTTTCACATGCCTTTGGCTTCTTTCCTGAATTGCAAAGCCCATGCCAGCACCTTGAGAAGTTTTCTAAATGTGCAGCTGGTATAGTCTCATTTCAGGTGCATTCTGCTCAAACGTGGCCACACCTTTTCCCTGTTACAGTGACAAGCTGGAAACCATTCTGACATCCTAACCAAATGACGAGGTGATAGGCGGGTCACTTGGAAAGAGGCTGCTGAGAAGTCGAGCAATCTGCTGGGAAGCAGAGCAATCCCAAGCGCAATTGAATCCCAGCTGCGGCAGCTGGTCGGGCCCCTGCTGGACTATCCATAGCTGGCTTTTCTGTTCTAGACTCTCCAGGCTGCTTTGTTCCTACCTCATGGGACACAGCCTACCCTAGGTTGATACCACTTTGTGCCTCTGAAAGAGTTCAGGAAAGGTAAGGGTATTTTTTTTTTTTCATTTGTTAAAATAAACAGGATGAGGACAGAAGCCTGCTGTGGATGAGTAAATAACCTGGTGCATGATCAATCCCCAAATAGTGCCTACACCCGGACCCTGGGTCAGGGCATGGTCTGTGACCTGCCACCCAGAGCTTCCTGGGCAGAACCTCAGCATCCTCATCACAACCTCTGCTTTCCTGGGCACGTGCAGCCAAGTTAGGACTGTCAGGGGAGCTCCAGAGCAGCTGGCCACCCCACCTTGATTTAGCCTCAGTTTCTCCTAGAAACTAATTCTCCCCTGTGGGTGAACATGGGTTAGAAGATAGAGCTCCCCCTTCTTCCCGACAGCCCCAGAAAGCTCATCAAAGTTGGTGTGGCCAGAGGGAAGGGGCTTCCTAGGGACAGCCTATAGGGACCAGGCCTGGGCCAACTCAGTATAGCCTCAGGCATCACTACCAATGCCTACTGTGTGCAAGGCCAGGGGTGGTTAGGGACACAGAACCAGCCCTTAGAGCTGCCCACCTGGCTGAGGCACAGGCAGATGCACACGGAACAGCTTGTCAAGAACATGGGGGTGTATGCAGGGTGAGGGTGTGTGATGAGGTGACCAGCTGGTATGCTCCTGAGCTGGTGGTGTCCCTGAGAGCTGGACCTGTGCTGTTGCTTGTGGTGGGTCAGGGTGAAGGGGACTTTGGAGGATGGATGGGCCTGCAGCAGCACATCAGAGCTACACCAGCAGAAGCCACATCGGCGGGCAGCTCCCTGGTCTCCCCTCGATCAGAGAGCCATGCAGGACATGTGCAACCAGGGCCATTGCCACGTGTGGCTTTTCTTTTGGCTTTATCACTCACAGGGTCTGGCCACCTTTGATCCCTCCACTACGGGCATCAGAAGATGGCT